TATAGATATAGATATAGATATAGATATAGATATATAGATATATAGATATATATATAGATATATAGATATATATATATACCATTTATAATTAATAATTATAAATATAATAATAAATATAATTATATAATAAATATAATTAATAAGACACTTAATATAGGAATATAATTTGTATCACTTGTATAGCATGACTTTATGTTCCAATACATTACAGAAAAAGCTGAATAATAGCATAAATTGACTTTATAAAGAATACTATCAATATAACCTTTTTTCTTATTTTATTAAGCATTTGATGATGCCTTTGCTGAATTCCAAAGATTAAAGTAAGTATATAGTTTAAGTAAAATATATTTTTCTGTTTTAATTAGGCTACCATATCTGGATTGCAAACCTTTGACAATATATAGAGTTTTCCACATCTGTTTTCATCCAGGAATAATCCAAATGACAGCAATCCAGACCTGGTAACCTTAAACCAGGGGTGTCAAACTGGATATCTTCGAGGGCTAGATCAGCATCTCTTCCACTGGGCAGTGGGGGGAAGGGAGAGGGGAGAAGAGTCTGGATGGATGCCTCCTGCAGCACCCTGCCGGCCATTATCAGGTGTTGGGGGAACGGATGATGTCCCCTCATGGCCCATTTTTGGTTGGCAGAGTGCTGCAGGAGGCAATGAAGACTGAAAATGGACTGTATGGGAGCCTCATGTCCCCCCCCCCCGTGGGGACCCCATGGCCCATTTTGGCCAGGAGAGGTACCGCAAGCCGGTCATTTGATATTTCCAGGCTGGCCCCATGGGCCAGATCTAAGCACTCCATGGGCCAGATCTGGCCCATGGGCCTTGAGTTTGACACATCTGCCTTAAACCTTCTTATTATCTAGCTTAACTATCAAATTGTGAAACTTTGTTCTAATGGTAGGTTACTTTCAATATTTTTGTAATTTAAACACTACCTGTTTTAATTGAAATACAATAGATAAGTTCAAAACATAGTGGGAATTTATCTCTTCTCCTTTTTCCAAATAGTAGTTCAGTACTATTTCTTACTGAATAGTTAGTTGAATGGAAATCTACATCCAGAACAAATGGAAGATGACTTTTCCTCCAGCAACCCACCATATGACACAAAATATCTAGCTATTATCATTATATATTCAAAGATGAAAAACTAGTGCTTTGTTTATTGAAAATAGTTTCATTATTATTTTGAGGGCTGATGCTGAAATATTGTAGAAAAAAATAATTAACAAAGTGAGATATTATACATAATGATTTTCTTCAGCTATTTAAAGTTGCACATAGTATAGCTTTTCCATCACTGTGCCTTAATAAAACTGAGATTTCTTTCTGTCTTTCTCCATTACAGAACAGCTGCTATTGCAGAAAAAAGTAAGTGAATTGTCTTTTTATTTGGTCCCTGTTTTGTCAATAGGATGTAACGCTTCCTATTTATTTCTGGTGCTAGGGTTTTTCATAACAGTTGCCTCATAGAGATCTTGCTTTGGTAAAATTTATTATTTAAATCAGTCCACTCAAATATTTACAAATATATAAATTGACTCATAAAGAGGCAGGGAGTAGAAGGGTGATGCAAACAAGCTTAAAATAATCTAATGGCTATAGTGCAATATTGTTTAATTAACTTCAACAACCCCAAATCCCCACCACCACCAATTAACAATTTGGAATATGATTTGTTGTTAACCTTGAGTGTCTATTACAGTCCATTATTCCTGACCACTTAATGAGATGAACAACATGTGACTCATAACAGCAATTTTATAACAGTTATTATGTTTAGGCAGAATAGGGCAGAAATACTAGGAGCCACTATCTGATTGTATGAAGAATTGGCAGCTTGCAAAAAAATAAGACACTATTTATCTATCTGCCAGATAGAACACTTATTACAGGGAAAATAAAACCATAGACGCAGATTAACTTCTAAGAAATGTTACATTTTATTTATTTATTTATTTTTGCAGATCGTGCTCGTGTACTTGGAGGTCTGCCAGATGTTGTCACTATTCAGGAAGGCAAGGTATAAAAAAGTAGCTGAAATATTTAAAAGAAGTAATTCTGCAGTTTTCTTAATTCTCAGAGAAGAAGGTTTCCAATTTTCCAAAAGCCCTGACTTTGATAAAGAAATAGATTTCCTAGTCATCTTTTATATGGAGAACATAATTTCAATTTGTTAGGCAGCCAGCTTCATGAAAGAGTGAAGAGGGAGGGACACAAAATTCAGATCATAATCCACCAGAGAGGATTATGGCATAGCATTTGCTGCTAATCTCATTGATTTTCAGAAATCTTGAATTTAATTCAATATAAATGAATTTTCCATCGATGGTTCATAAAAAAGTATGTGCTGGTACAAGATACCCCACAAAATCTCAGGTATTATAGTGTAGTCCTTATTTAGTGATTGAAATTGGTTCCAATGAAATGTTATTAAACGAACTACATGTAAGAGAGAGAGAGACTGAAAACCACAATGGTTGCTGCCCTTTTATTCAGATAAAATTCCATTCTATGTGTCCTGTGTCTGACCTTTTTCCTCCCTCTATTTTGGTTCCCTTGCAGGGCAGAAAGATTGCCTAAAACTTCTTTTCTCTGCAGCACAGAGCTTCTCTAAAAAGTGCTAAGCACAAGTTAATAAGCTTAGTTCTATGAGCTTAATTAGCTGCTTAGAACACTACCAAGGTCTAGCATTTGCTGCCTGAAATTGACCAGATTTTCATTAGTTTCACACTAAAGGCTTTTGTTGTCATAAATGCCTTCATTGGTTACAAAGTTATTTTTTCATCACCACTATAATTGCAAATTGTCACTGTCTGAGGCAGTCAATAAAGGACTACTTATAATTTGAACTTTTTTTCCTCCTCAGTCAGCCAGTAATATATAACATTGCTGGAAGAAATGTCCATCTGAGTACAATTCCAAGTGGGGAAAAAAGACACTGAAAACATGGAGGCTGTTTGGAAATATGGTTTTAATGATGGATAGGACCACATGGTTTGAGGTTGTGGGCAATCGAGCACATGGAAGAGAGAGGGGGGATTTATACCCTGTCTTGGCCTTTGAATTTGAGCTTATCCTATTGGTTGCAGTCAGACTCTCATGGGGCTATGCAGTCCTAGCTGAGTTTGCCTGTGTCCCAGGCTTGGTTGAACCTTGCTGAGTGATGCAATGAAGGGACTTTGGACAATTCCTATTATGGCTTAATGGCTTTGTCCTGGTTTGGATCTTGAATGAGGGTATTTGCTTATGAATAGACCTAGCCATCTCTTTATCTCTTAAGTGCTGACTTCTGCTGTGGGCTATTGAGGAGGGTGGGGGTATTAAGTGTACTTTCTGCCTTTAAAAAAACCCATGTTTCTCCATTTTTCATCCAGGGAAATATAATATTCTGCCTTTTTAATATTTCCTAGAATATTCCATTCTTCTAGGAGAGGGGTGGGTGCTAACTTCTTACAACTTCATAAATAATTTTAAAATATTGTTCATTATCTGCATTTTTACTAATGAACGGGGTTCAAGATACAGGTCTTTAATTTTTTTAAAAAAATTAAAAACAGTCATAAATTATTCAATTGAGATTAAGAATCATGGCATGTAATCCTAGCTTTTCACCTTTTTTCTTTTTTGTATTAATAATGTCTTACATGAAGGACTAGGTGTAAATAAAACTTCTCAATTTAAATGCCTTTAAATTGAACTCCTATGGAGTTTAAAATCATTATGCCCATGTCTGTTGAGATTTTCCTCTTCCCATCAATAGAGGTGTCAATCTAGTGTATACTATTAAACCTATAAATAACTAACAAAAAAATCAGAAACTGGAACAGAATGGGGAGGCAATTTATATTTTGTTGTTCAGTTTAGTGATCATGCTATTCGTATTATAGAAAAGTTTAGAATGCTTCTAATATTATTTAGATTTTAAACATTGTATATGTGAGAATCTAGATAATACTATATTGACTAATAACAGTCTTTAAAGTTTGGTTTATGACCTGGCTCAAAATTATTTTCAGTAATAAAATTGAAAATTAGTTACCTAAGCCACAATATATTTGTCACACATTTTTTTCATAAAACCTCCTAGGATCAATGTGACTTGGAAAATATATATATATATATATATATGTATATAATTTCAAATTAACAGTAAACCAATAAAGCATACATTATTATCACAATCTACAAAAAGTTGTTTTATGTAGTTTAAACATATTATTTAAATTAAAAACCTGTTTTGCAATCATTTTGTTACCGACACTGTATCTTTCTTTGAGCATAAACAAGGCTGGTTGCCTATTAAGAGACTAATTATCCAAGCATTTCCAGTGTTTACATTTATAATAAAACAAGTATATAGTTTATGATTATCTCAAGGAAGAGAAAATAGTCACAAACACAAAATGTTTCTAGTACACCAGTAATAGTGGAAAGGAAGAGGAGGAGGAGGGAGGAAGAGATAGTAATAGAAGTATGGTAATGACAGCATTTGTTGAGTTCTTAATATTTATTTATATTTGCATCCTTTGTATGTTTTCTGCAGGCACTTAATCTTACATGCAGTGTCTGGGGAAATCCTGTCCCGGAGATTTCATGGCTCAAGAATGAAAGACTCCTGAAAGCAGATGACAATATCATCTTGAAATATGAATCAGGAAAACAAGCCTGCTTCACTATTACAGCTGTCAGTACGATTGATTCAGGCAAATATAGCCTTGTAGTAAAAAACCAGTATGGTACAGAGACAAGTGATTTCACTGTCAGCGTGTTCATACCTGAGGAAGGGGTTGAAATCCCACACCCGGAACTTGGTAAAGGAGATAAGAAAAAGAAAGCATGAAGCATAACTTAAGGGCACATGTTTATCCCTACCTTAATAATGTGTGTAAACTACAGGTAGTTCTTGACTTACAATCACAATTGGGACCAGAATTTCGGTTGTTAAGCGATATGGTCATTAAGTGAGTCATCACATGACCAGACCCAATTTTACAACCATTTTACCATGGTCGTTAAATGAATCACAAGATCAACTGAGCCATGTGTTTTTTTAAGCCAATCTGGTTTTTCCAATTGAGACTGCTTGTTGAAAGCTGCCTGGTTGCAAATTGCAATCATGTGACTGTGAGACACTGCAAGGCCAACTGTTGATTGTGTGGGTGATGTGACAGTCGCAACTTTGAGGACAATTGTAAGTCACTTTTTCTGAGGCCATCGTAACTTCAAGCCGTAGCTAAACGAATAGTTGTAGGTTGAGAACTACCTGTGTTTTACCTGTATATAAGTTGCATCTGGATTCTTCCATTAATTTCATTTGAGATATTAAAACTTGAACTATGTTAGACAAAAGCAGTTGCCACCATCTTCCCATTCTGACCATTCAAAGGTTTCTTAATTTTTTTTCCCCTTCACCAGTCCATAATGAGGCAAAATCATCAGTTAGTGCATGTGACAAATAGTTGGCTATTCTCCAATGTCCAGGTGTTTATGAGTAAAAAGTATACTGCATATAAATCTACAAGGAAATGAAAGACTCAGAATGGTTTACTGTAGTGAAATTCTAGTAATTCAGAATCTAGAAATTGTTATACTGGTAATCTTTGAATTTACTATAGCACAGTAGTAGAAAATTAATATTAACTATATTAATATTGTTGTCAGCGGAAATTTCAGTTCTGGATATTTCTTGTTATTCACAAATAAATATAGGAAACTTATTTCTTTCACCATGTGGGTGTCAGCTTGTCTTTATTTTTTATTCACCTCCTGATACTTTACTATTCTTTTCATTTAAGATCAGTGTTCTTCTAAGTTTATTTTGCTTGTGATAACCTTTTTTTCCAGTCTTCACTACAGCAATTATAAAGGAAATTCTGATATTTTATTTTTCTACTAATTTCTGGCACTTTGGTCTCCACTATAAATCTACTTAAACATTCCAGTGACTTTACGTTTGTTAATATTTTTAAGTGGAACAGAAAGCTTTTCGGTATTATTTTCTAGGGACAAATAAGCAACAATTTCTCATTCTTTATTGAGGGGGAAAGGGATAAATTTAACTGATTATCCACTCCTCTGAGCAGAATGGATGTATTTTCATTGCCAGTGGTTGCAAAGATGCAGTGATTTTCTCTTCTCTGGAAGAAAAAATAACACCACCAGTTTCTGTTGCAAAAACTTGGATCATCATTAGAATATAGCAAAGAAAACCATTTGGGCAGAAATATATTTCTTTATATGGGTATAGATAATCCTCACTTACCAACCATAACTGGGACTGGGAACTCTGTCACTAAGTTATTCAACACCATGTGCTGACTTAAGCAGTTCTGGCAGTTCCAGTTACTATTGTTAAGCAAATGCTGTCTGATTTGAATCCAACTTCTTCTGGGCTTTCCCACTGATTTTGTCAGAAGCCAGCAGTAAAAATTACAAATTGTCCACAGACACTGGAATGTTGTAATTGTGAGCCAGCTGCCAAATGTCTGACTTGCAATCATGTGACTGCAGTACCCTGTGATGGTCACAACTATGAGGACCCATTGTAAGTTGCCCTCAGTACTGTCATAATTTCAAAGGGTTGATTAATGAGTGAGTGTTACACATATATATGAGTGTGGATGTTGAGTAGGGCTTTATTATGTACATATCTGTATGTGTGAATTGTGGAGAATGTTCTCTCTCTAATTCTGAATGCAAACACGAAGATATATCTCTGAACTGAAGGAATAGAATCCCTGAATTATTATATATCCCTCGCAGTGAGATGGGTGGCAAACAAATTTAACAAATAAATAAATAAATAAATTGGACCTTATGATCTGAATTCCATTATTATGTACTTAGCAAAAGTGCAAGGACTAACATAATGATTAAGCAAATATCTATCTTCTTGTTGAATCCAAACTACTAGAGTTTTATTATTTGTTTATTTATTTTGGTACTCTGTTCCAACTGGAGCATTTATCAGCATAATAATTGTTAGCAAAACCATTTAAGTGAGTTTTTTTGTTAGCACAAAATTTAAAGAATGTAATATTTTCAGTTCGCCACCTGAAACACATACTTAAAAAGCCAAACATTTTGATTGCTATTTATTTACATCCCTACCCTGGTCTTTCCCCTCCAGAGGATGTAGACTGCTACAGTCAACAACACAATCAAGTTGACCTTGATTGGAGTTGGAAAGAATATTTAGTCTATAGTCTAGTCTGGGAATTGAACAAACATCCCCCCCCCAAAAAAAGTAAAAAAATAAAAATAAAGTAAAAAAGTAAAAACACCACTGCCACCCCAACTCTGATATTGTTTCCAAAACAACCCTATATGGATATATCCATGAATATACCGCACCTCAAATTCAACTCAATAGAGAAGTTAATTCAGAAGTATTTATAGAGAGCTATTGTGAAAGATACTTTTAAGTAGGTTTGACAAATTTGTGAAAATTGGTTGTTTCAAGTTAGTTTGACAAAATTCTCTCCAATTAGCACTTGGCATCCAGGAAATATTATTATCACATGAATATTACATTTAATTTATTTGTTTTTAATCCCACCTTTATTATTTTTATAAATAACTCAAGGCAGCGAACATACCTAATGCTTCCTCCTCCTATTTTCCTCACAACCACAGCCCCGTGAAGTGGATTGACTGAGAGAGAGTTACTGGCCCAAAGTCATCACTGACTTTCATATCTAAGGCAGCACTCAAACGCGTGGTCTCTCATTTCTAACCTGGTGTCTTAACCACTAGACCAACAACAGATAAAAACTCTAATTCAACAATAAACCTCTAAAACTAAGGTTGCATGACAGAGTCTTTAACTTTTTACTGCAAAAGGGCAGTAATAGCATCACTTGGGTCACCAGGCGTGGAAATATAGCATTTGATCTTGTCAGCGTACTGCAGATACCTCAATCGATGGTGATGGATGATCTTATTCAGCGACTTCATGTAGATATTAAAAGGGAGTGGAGGGCCCTGTTGAATTCCAGAAAATAGTGGCTGATGGCTAGACTTTTCCTTCCCTATTAGCATTGTTTGGGATTGGCCATGGAGAAAGGAGCCAAACCAGCAAAAACGTGTGATGCCCATTTCCATAGCTGTTCTAAAGGATACTATAATTGATGGTAATGAAGACTGACGAGAGGTCAAGGAAAGTGAGAATGGTTGCACTATCTCCATGATGCTCTTGTCAGAGATTACCAACAAGAGCAACCTATGCCTCTATGACCTCTTTCAGATGAACTTATGAAAGGATAGCTTTATGAATGGCAGTCTGCAGGGGGAGGGAAAGCCCAGAACTGGCAGTCAAAGCACACAGGAAATAATATATTCTTAATTTCTGCAGAACTCCTAGTTTCAACAGCAGCACATTCCTTGCCAACCACGCCACAGTTGAACTTGAGCTGGAAATAAAGAGGCTCATTGATGGTATTAGACTGTAGAGCTAACCACCAAAACCATGTGTGGAAGTGTCTACAATACAATGAAAATTCTTATATACTGCCTATGCTTGTTTTTTAAACAGGATGCTGTACATAAAATAGCAAACAGCAAAAAATTAGAGGTTTTGAGGAAATATAAATGCATCTGCATGTACAACATCTTTGCACAAACAGTACTAACAAGTTAGCAGATTTCACCAGTGCAGAATACTGTTTCAAGCATTATGGCTGTTGTTTTTATTGAACGTCAAGGATGTAATAATACTAAAAAAAATACTAATGCAGGTCTTGTGTACCACAGTGTATTTTCATTTTTTAAAGAAGTGTCTTGAGATAAATTGCACATCTAATCCCCATTCTTTTCATTTTCCTAAAGCAGAAAGTACATGTATTAAAATTTCACGAGTGAAAGCTAAAATCCTGGGAAACAGCATAAATCATAGCTTTAAATATCCAGCTTTGGCATATACGTGGTTCAGCCATTGAAGAAGGACTCTTTCAAAATAGTTTTCTAAATGTATGAGAGCTACAAACTTATGCAATAATATGTGAAGTGCTTTACTGGCATCAGACCCAGATCCATAAAAAAGGCATTAAGGCAGCAGTTCAGTCAGTCTCAGAACTGGTATCTTTTCATGTCTGCCCTATGTCAATAAACAATGACTGCATCTAAGAGACTAAATGCTGTATTCATAATGCATACTTATATTTACCGCAGTATTTGCAATTGGAGTATCTGGATTGACAGGAATCAGAGACCAAAATATTCCCTACCATTCTTTCTCATTTTCAAAAAGCACACAAGCAAGAGATCTCATACTTTGGGAACTCTCTGTGGTTTTAAACTATTGTACTATTTTTTTTTTTGCCACAAACATGAATATTATCTGATGAATAGTGCTTTGGAAACTTTCTCAGAATGTCTCAAGCAAGCCATTTTCCTTAAATCACCCCATTATTTTTTTCAAAATATCAGTAATATGAACAGCCTGCTAGAGGAAAAAACATTTCATGATTTAAAATGTTTTGAATCCATTTGAAATGAATGCAATATATGAGTGATAATTTACAACTTACGTTACTGTTCACAAGGAATCTACAAAGAGTTGGTCACTGCTACTATACCTACACACCAATCACTGAACTTTCTCCTTTCACTTTCCTAATCGTGAGTCATGTTGCTCTTCAGAGTATCAATTCTTATTTTGTCTCCTTGAAATCTGTTTGGCCATCTGTAAACACAGCTAATACATTTAAAATATCTCTGAAACATGTAATTGCATTTGTCCATCACGATATTGAAATTTTTCCCACATCAGATGAAGTCACTATAACTTGTAATATATATAGTCTATAGAAGAAGATGGTATCTCATCATTCTACGAGATCATTAAACAATGTATATATGGAATATACATTCTGCTAGAATATCTCACTTCACCTAAAGAAGAAAGCCCATGTGATGATATCTCCAGCTCAACCTCTTACCAGCTTCTAGGTTTTCTATAAGAGGGTGTGAGGGTTCAATGGTTAAAGACACTGAGCTTGTCAGCTGGGAATCTGGCAGCCCGGGTTTGAGACCTAAGCACCAGAGGTGGTGTTCTGCCAGTTCACATTGGTTCAAACAAACTAGTAGTGGCAGTGATGCGAGGCTCCGCCCACTGACCCAGATGTCATCACAGACCTTCTGCGCATGTGCAAAAGGTTCTGTGCATGCCCAGATGTGCATGCGCCCACTGCGCTGGCTCCCTCAGCTAAGAAACAAAGATGAGCGCCCCCTAGAGTCGGACACAACTGGACAGGAGAAACCTTTACCTTTAGGTTTTCTATGGAAATAAATGTATTTCACTAGAAATTTTAAAAAATCAGCATATTGTTTTGATTTGCACTTTTCTCAAGATGAATGAATCAAAGGCATATGTGGTCCTAGGGATGTTTAGCTTCTTTCAGCCCAGTTCAGTTTCTGATTACTTTATGAATGTACAAGCAGAATAGAAACTAAATTCCATTTAACTACCCCTCTCTCCTGATGTTAGTGTGGGTGTAACAATGCAAACATTATTAATATGCATTGATCTAGTGTTATGAAGCCAGCTTGTACATCAAGATGTTGCAAGCTGTGTATGTGAAAGTATGTTTTTATCTTTTTATATGCACAGATGGATATTGTTTCATGGCAAGATATATAATGCATCTCTAGTTAAGATTCATAATAAGTATTTAGTCTTAATTCCTGTACCTACTTGACAATATCAC